TTTGTACAATCAAATAGTTCTTCATTCCTCATCGCCCAAATCATTGAACGCATCACGCAAATCATTGAGCATTTCATCCGATGTCTCCTCTACATGCAGATGAAATGAGTATCCATCAATAGGAAGAACCAAATTGTCCATACCACGAAGAATTCAGGAAATTCAAAACCCTCGCACATAAATTTACTAATATGAGACGCATGTGCTTTGACATTTCATTGTCGTTGTCATTGAAACCAGACCAATCTCTAGCGTCCAACATCACCAGTTCTTTGCATCCGCGCAGCAACGTGACAAGACCATCCCGATTAACTTTTGCACCCTTCAAATTTAAGTACTTGATATTAGGCACCAACTTCACAATTGACAATGCCTCACGTCCATGAACAGAGCCTTTGGACAAATCTAAACCATAAAAATTCTTGCAATGTGTTTGTATAATTGCAAGTATTTTCGCCAAATTTAAGCATGAACCTAATGATAACACCTCCAAATTTTTCCACTTGCCAATCGGCTCTAGGTTCGTGTGCTTGCAATGTGTTTGTATAAGTCCTGCCATCTTCCGTCGTCCATCTGCAAGAGTATGACAAGGAATTAAAAAAAAAGATCGAGCACTGAGACAAAAGGATTACTAAATAATAAACGGAAACTAGGAAAACAATCACCTTAAGTTGAAGAATGCAAGGCCGAATGCATATGGTAATCATTTATAATAGGAACCAACAAGAGAATTAATTGATGGAGAGTTGGAAAATTGTTCATTCAACAAGGACTTTTCGCATTCCAATGCAGTGCATGCTCTGGATGTTCAAAAGGACTTCTCGCATTCCAATGCAGTGCATGCTTTGTAGATTCAAAAGGACTTTGCACATTTCAATGCAGTGCATTGGTTTCGGAGGCTGATTAGGGCTAAGCACAGTTTGATTAACCGGACCAAGTGGTTGGAACTACCAAACTGAAACCGATCAAGTCGATGAAGGAAATTATGGGACCAACATCGACTAGCCACTCTCATCTACCAACCACAGTCGGTTCATGACCAAGCAAATGGTTCGTTGCAGGTCAGTTTCAGCGAAGAAAGAGAGCGAGAAGAGAGAGAAAGAGAGGTTGAAGTACTAATCATACATTATTGCAATACTTAACATGTGAAGCAATAGATGTCCTGAATAATGGGGATAGCGTAAAACGGCGCGGATGCTAGTGAGGGGAATTTATTCCACCCATCAAGGAAATGCCAATTAAACTCATTTGTTGAAGACCCGATTAAGAGGTAACCATTAAAAACTAGATCCCCGATTCACTAACGATTATTCATGGATTTTGCACACGTAAAGCTCTTAATTACCAATTATTGAACACTATAAATATGGCCACATATGCATGTCCTGCATGTTGTGTATTAACCATATGCTATTGTTGAATGGAATGGTAATGATATACCAAGGTCATAAACTCATACTTGCATAGGAAAGAGAATAAGTCAACTCTAAATTAGATCATGATAATCTTTTTAAAAGTAGTTTAGTCTGCAATGCATAGAACCCTTAATTTAGCCAATCACATATTCGTAGCATAAAGTTTTCCATACCTTCAACCACCATCTCCTTCCCCTCTCTCTATATAACCTTCAAATATTGGTGAACTTCCATCCGAGAGCAGAAAGGCATCTTCCATTTGATGCTGCACACATGAAGTAACAAGGAGTGGATAATGAGAAACAGAAATATATAAGTTTAGGGTCATCATCTATAATAAGGTAACAAATCAATTAAGCAACAATAAAATTATTTTTATAAGTAAGTGGTTTTGATGAAGTCTTACCTCCGCAACAGTCTTCTGCTTGTGAATGTGGTCGTTCTCAAACAAAATTATTAATGATTCAGGATCCAGGGAATGGTTTTGATGAAGTCTTACCTCCGCAGCAGTCTTCTGCTTGTGAATGTGGTCGTTCTCAAACAAAATTATTAATGATTCAGGATCCAGGGAACGGTGGTACACAAAGCATCAACCAGTTTCTGTACATTTGTACTTCTTTTGATCCTGAAGACAACTTCACTTTTCATCCTACAAGTGGAAACATAAAAATCACAAGACTAGAAATTGCAAGAAAAAGCATGATGCTAGATTGGCCCAAGAGATTTGACATTATTAATGGAATTGCTCGGGGGCTCCTCTATCTTCATCATGTAGGTCTTTTAAGTGTGCAGCGTAACCCGGCAGATAGGTCGAGCATGCCAGCTGCAGTTGTAATGTTGAGTGGTGAAGGGTCATTGCCTCAACCTCAAAAACCTGGTTTTTATAATGAAAGGGATCTCAATGAACTGGAAGTCGATCCTTCTTCTAAAGCATTTTCAGCTAATGAAGTCACAGTCCTTTTACACTAACGGAGGCTCGATAAACGATATTTCATGTTGGTGTGTTAATCTAGTGCTTTTGAAGTCAGTTTGAAAAGTTAAATATAATTAAGAGATTCCCAACCCATGCGTTAGCAAATGCACCCTCTAATTTTTTTATATTTGTTTTCTTAAGAGTTGAGGTGGAGTTCCCACTACAAAAACACAGACGCTGAAAAAAGAACTAATATAAAAGCTTAAATGAATTAGATTTTTCACTTGAGGTGGTGAAATATTTCAATTTTTTTTTCCTGTTCTTTGGTGGGTTGGTTTTGTGTTCCTATGCAAGAGGAGGAGGTGACAACTCTTATTATTATTATTATTTTTGCTCTCAGCAAACACGAGGGCATGATCAACTGTCAAAATCTATAACAGAAATGCAATATCCAAGGAATGAAAAGCAGTCCAACCAAGAAGAACCATCAATGGATGAATATTGAATGCATAAAGATTTATCAAGCTTCAAACAAGAAGAACCAAACCAATCAATCTATTGCTTAACCAAACCATAAATAAATAGTCAGAATTTGAGATTGGGGCCTAAAAATCGAACCTTGTTATTGGCAAGACCATAGAAACTCCATGATAGGATAGCTTCATCATTTTCCTTCCACTGAAGACAGACACCAAGTCAGCAAATTTTGTATTTTTTTCTTCTGCGCCATGTTGTCAATGCGAAGAGAGAAGAGAATAAGGCGGAGTTGGCAGAGGGAGGAATTGTCGTCGTTGTCGTTGGTGTGGTGAGGTGAACATGTCGTTTGGGAGAGAGCCAAGAGAGAAGAGAATAAGGTGGGAAACAGGGAGAGGAATGGAATTAGATGAATTAAGAGTCTCATGATCTCTTCTTCTATGGACCTGACTTGTGCTTCACTGCTTCGGCTTCCCAAACTCAAGCTCAAATTTGCAGCTAAATTTGTTCAATTTCGGGTTTTAGACTTTCAGTCAATCGTAGAGTTCGAAAAATTGGCCTAGGTGGGCGGCTAGGCGGCTAGGCAGTCACTAGGCGGGCGCTAGGACTCGGAGGAGAGAAGGCTCTGCCTCGGCAGACATTAAGACCGAGTCTTTGAAGCTTGGAAGCACTTATAGAGAAGCGAAATGGTTGTGACTGCGAGTGCAAGCTTTGTGTTCTATTATCTGTCCCTTCATTTCACTCACGCATCACATTCCTCGGAGAGTGCAAGCTTCGTGTTTGTGAGGAATATATTTAAAGAGTATAGCCGTGCGGCTATACTTTTAAAATATTCGGATGTACTATAGTTTGAAAGGGCGTATAGCCGCGCGGCTATACTTTTAAAATATGTGAATATATTTGAACGGCTATACTCTTTAAATAAACAATTTTGTCATATTATTTTAGGGTTTAGGGCTAAAATACCATTTTAGCTCACTGGGCTAGAGTTATTTCTTCAATTATTTTATTTATACAAGCGATATTAGTGCTCAAAATGCTCGAATAGATTAATTTTTTTTATATATAATTTTTAAAGAATTCCTAGAATACCATATAAAGAAATGAGAATATATATATAATAGTTAAATGTCAAATCTCTGGGTTTATTATTTGCATTAGCACATCCTATCGAGTAATGGTTAACTTAACTTACTTCATGCTGGATTTGGTTTTCATCTTATTAAGGTAAAAATTGTTACCCCAGCCAACAATCACAGAGAGATGGGAAAAGAGCACAGTAACTCCATGCCAAAAATTGTTAACCCTTGGCCTTGCTTTGCCTTCCATTACACGAGGAGATAGTGTGTATTCATAACAATTGGTCTGTTGAATTATTGATCAAGTATTAAATTTGCCGATTGGCAACTCCCCTTTTTATTTTCTCTTTAATTTCCAAGTACAACGTCAACTTGTTTTTATTTATATATTTTTTATAAATTTTTTATAGTACAAGCAATAGTCTAAAGGGGAGGGAGATTTCTCACACACACACACACAACTATGATGTCGTGGTTCGAACATGAGATCTCTGGTTTGCAAGTCATTGCCATTTTCCACTGAGTTAGACCCCGTTTACTTGTATAATAAACAGTAGATATACATATGATTTTCTGCATTTGTTTATAAATGCAAACTACCATTAAACACATGTACTACTAAAGCATAAAACTGCACGTCTTTATGGGAAGATATTTTCATACCTAAGCTACTGTTGACCCTTCACATACGTCGCAAATTGTAAACCCATGACCTTCACAATATGGACATTTTGCTCCCTCTTCCACCCAATCCAAGAACTGCTGTCATTTAACAAAATAATTAAAACTTCATCCTGGATGGATAATGCTCGAAAATGAGAATACTAATCTCTGTTTGAAACCTCTAACCTGTTCCATCACATACTGCAACAAAGAAATACAAATAAGCTACCAAGGGGACTGAGGATAGTTGAAACAAAATATGCCAAAGTACAAAAATAAAACTAATGCATATCATCATCAAAGCCATTGGTGTTCAACATTATATTTAAAAATCAGATCAAACAAAATAAATATACAAATACATAGTATGAGTGGATTTAGAGTACTTTAGCGTAGCAAGGCAATGGTTTATAAACTTGAATACAGTGACTAAGACGGGAGACAGACAGGAGGTACCTGTGCACAATAAGCGACCCTCCCCTCGACAAGTAAGACACCTTCTTGTGGTATTCATTGTCTTGCTTTCACCTCCTATTTTTTTGGTTCCTGCTAAGTCTAGAAGAATCTTCCCAGCGGTTCTCTCCAAGGAGAAAAACACGATGCTCAGATACCTCTACTTCTGTAACACCTTCTTTCACAAGTGTTTTCTGGACCTCTGAAATTTCTGTTGCAGAAGTAACTGCAGCTCCATTTGTATCTTCCTAAACAACAGAACCCACGCAACCATTAGAAGAATTACGATGTTTCAGCCTATGTAGTGGTTCGCTATAGCTTATAGAAACATGATCATGTTGCTAGCTCAAGGCTAACCAGGAGAAGAAAATCAGTTTACCAATATAATCAGCTTCATTTATTAGTATCCAAAATAAGTTACGGTGTGTTACCAGTTACCACAGCACATTACGTCATTGTCATATCGTATTTATTTGCATGTTAAGTGATTGTCTCATGAACTGGAACCAAGAAACCTCATGTCTGAGTTACTGAAAATAGAGTCGGAGCTTCAGGTCCGTTTCTCAATTAAGTAACAGAACTTCTTGGTTGGTGCTTAGTACTGTTTGCTACAATTCTTTACAATCTGGTTGAAGAAAATGAAGGCTTAGTTCACTTCAAATTGAACCATCAAATGAGTTTTTGGCTCCTCTTGCGGAATGCAAGTAATGACTTACCAAACCATTATGTTCAGTTCCAAGTGAGGAACGATATATTGGTACTGAAACTTAAAACATCAATGGCTTCCACTTAATAAAGGCTAATGGTATGTCGTCAAAAGGCTATACCTATACCTTTTGTGTAGCAGTCAGAGTACTCCCTTTGTTATCCAGACCCTCAATTTGTGCCACCATATATAATTGTTCAAGAAGTTCTGCAGTCACTATGCCATCTTGAGGGGCATCTAAGAAGGCCTGTCAAACAAGAGATTACAAGTTGACTAACATATATATTTTGCGTTGTGAAATTTTTGTTCAACTTGGTGATTCTGAAATTTTACTCTTCATGCATTATACACAGTAACATCTAATGATAATTGAAACTTACTTGCCAAGTCTTGACAGCACGTTCGGTCCCGCTTGAGAAGCTGGAAAACTCCATGTCTTCCTCACCCAAGTAAAATCCTAGTTTTTGCAATGCTTCCTGTCAAATAACAGGAACATTATATTAGAACAAGTCGAAATCACAAATATTACATCCAAAAACGAAGCGAATACTATAGAAAAGGAAATAACCACACAAACCCAGTTACAGAAAAAGAAAAGAAACAAAAGTTAACTACTTTCTATACTAAAGAGAAACTTAATACCCCCCTTGTAAGTTGTAATAAACTGTATGTTGCTCAGTTTTCAATTTACCAAATTTAAAAGTACCATCTTATTATTCAAAGACAACACTAAATCATAAACAAAACACAAGAAATGAATGATAGACTCTGAAAAATCAAAACTCGCCTTTCAAAAGCAAGCAGACCTGCATAGCTCGGACCTCTTCACCTTCCGACCCCTTCCTCAAAGCATTTCTTCTCTTCTTCTTCTCCTTCACTTCCGGAATGGCAGACACCTCCTCAATCTCCTCCTGAATATGGTCCAATTCTATGGCTCTGGAACTAGCTAATATTTAGCTAATATTCTGACCTCCAAGTATTTAGCTAATATTCTTTATGACTGCTTAAAGAGCACCATACGACATCTACAGTATATAGGAATAGAGCCACACTAAATATAGACTATTACACTTAGAGACATTGGAAAATAAACAGCCACAGTCATTGGGAAACCAAACCACCGACTCCACACACCAACTCACTGACTAAGACCCAATAATTCTAACAATCAGAATTTTCTTCGTCAAAATCTGCAACAAGTCGGCGATGTGGGGCTAGGCGGGGGCTAGGAGGGCGCTAGGCGGCTAGGCGGTTAGGCGGGGGCTAGGCGGCTGGGCGGGCCTCCTAGGCGGGTTGGGTCTTTTTTCGATGCCGAACCCGGAGGACGAAGCAGCCCAAACCGAAGAAAACCAATTGAAACTTGAGTTTGATGGAGAAGCGAAATGGCTGTGACTGCGAGTGCAAGCTTCGTGTTAATATTTAAAGAGTATAGCCGCCCGGCTATACTCTAAATATTCGAATATATTAATATTTAAAGAGTCTAGCCGTCCGGCTATACTTTTAAAATATTCGAATGTATTTAGAAAGTATAGCCGTGCGGCTATACCCTTTAAATATACATTTTTGTCATATCGTTTTAGGGTTTAGGGCTAAAATACCACTTTAGCCCATTGGGCTAGAGTTATTTCTACAATTATTTTATTTATACAAGCGATATTGGGGAATGAAAATTTAAATTCTTTCTGATACCTCCCATTCTAATGATTTCTAACTATTAGCCCATTAAAACCCAGTTCTTCTTCCCCTCTGATGTCTCATCCGCTCCTTCCCCGCTAGATGGCCGCTCTTGGTTCAGGTTTAAAGGCAGTACCTGATTGCTGTCTCTCCCTTCTGGGGCAGAGTGATTTTGTTGATTACTTTGTGAAGAATCAATTTCTGTCTCTCTCTTCTGGGGCAGAGTGACTTTGTTGCTTACTTTGTTGATTACTTTGTTTGTTGTTCTGGTTTGTTATTGTTCTATGTCTTTGTTTCACAGCCGAGCTCTGGTAGGTTTGTTTCTTTTGGGAGTTGATTTTGTTTTTTATTACTTATATCCTTTTTAAGTTTTGTAGATTGCTGTCTATTGAGTATGCTCTTTCGCAATCTCTAGTGACTACTAGGCAGGACCATGAGGGCTTTAGTGATGATATTGATGTGCTGGCGGACTTGCGTTCGGACTTTCATTTTTGTTTGTTGAGGTGGCTCTGAGAGATGATGGAGATTGTGTGGGTCGATGCTTGCGGGTCAGAGTGAGAGTTAATTTTACCCAATCTCTTTGGAGGGGTATAAATATTTCCTTTTCCGATATTGGTGTCAAATGGGTTGATTTCACTTATGAGCGTCTGCCTGAACTCTGTCATGATTGTGGGTGTTTGGAACATCGGACGCTGGACTACTCCCGGCCTTCTCTAGATCTTCGTGTGGGTGGAGTGAAACCTTAAACTAGCATTTGGCACGCTACTTTGGAGCCTTTTGGTGGTCCAAGATTTCCTAAAAGACAAACTCGGGATCGGTCTGATCTTGTTTGCGGTCATGGAGGACACGATGGATGTTGGTGATCATCGCCTTCCTGTTCGTTTCTCTGGCGTGGATGTGCCATCGGTTGAGACGGTTGGTATTAAGTCAGTTACTAGTGGTTGTAGCATTCTTCCTAATAACATCAAACAGTTATCAGTCACGTGGTTTTCTTTTGCCTTATTCTATTTTTAGAGGCCCAGTTTTCTAAGCCTGTTGGATTGGAGCTTTTCTGCCAAGTTTACTTTTTGTCCAACCCATGGATTTTAGTCTTCGGGGCTTTTATCCTTTTTCCTCGATTTCTTCTGTTAGTGCTGGTGGACTTGCGTTCGGACTTTCGTTTTTGTTTGGTTAGCAAAGTGTTCTCTATTCGTTGTTATCATCATGGTGTTTAGAGCTGGCAAACGGGTCGTTTTAGCGGGTTTCGGGTCGTTAACGGGTTAATCCGTTTTCTTAACGGGTTAACACGAACACGACCCGTTAAGTTAACGGGTGACAAATACTAGACCCAAACACGACCCGTTACTATTCGCGAATATCCGACACGACCCATTAACCCGTTAAGAATAAACCCAGAAAAAAAAAGGAAAAAAAACACATAGCCAGCAACCATTGTCTCTCTCATTTTTCTCTCAATTTCCATCTCATAAACACCATCCATAAAACTTTCATGACCATCCAGAAAACTTACATAAAGAAAAACAAGAAGAGAAAAAAATGGCTGATTAGATTAGATTATTTATATATAAAAGAAGACAGAGAGGAAGAGACGAGAGATGCAGATAAAAAGTGAAGAAGAAAAAAAAAAAGAGATGGAGAATGACGGAAAGAGGAAGAAGGAAAGGAGAAAAAAGAGATGGAAAGAAGAAGAAGAAGAAGAAGAAGAAGAGAGTGGGAGGTCACAAGAAGAGAAAAAAAAATGGTTGATTAGATTAGATTAGATTATTTATCCAAAAAAAAGACAGAGAGGAAAAGACGAATAAGAAGAGAAGAAAACAAAGGAGAGATGGAGAATGACGGAATGAGGAAGAAGAAAAGGAAAAATAAAAAAGAGATGGAGAGAAGAAGAAGAAGAAAAGAGAGAGTGGGAGGTGAGAGACAGTAAACGGAGAGAGAAAGAGGAAAGATGGAAAAGGAATATAAAAAAAAGAGGAATGGTGTTGGAGTTGGAGACGGATATTTTTTTAAAAACACATTTAGCAAAACTACCAAATTACCCTCCTTAACGGGTGGATGCGAATATTCGCGAATTGACCCGACCCAACCCGTTAGCTTAACGGGTGGCTAACGGGTTCACCCGTTGTCAACCCGACCCATTAAGCTCAACCCAAATACTGATAATTTCGTGCGAATTCGTGTCGTGTTAACGGGTCGTGTGCAATATTGCCAGGTCTAATGGTGTTTTCAAAACTGTGGTTGGGTACCTCTGGGATTTCAGTTTCTTTTGTTCGTGCTGATTTCCCCAAGTCAAATTTGTCCTTCGTCTATTCCTTATCCAGGTTTTCCAAGTCTATTCCTTTGGTGGTGTGCCTTCCAATTCGGTGGTGATTAGCCAAGTACAATATCTTCCTGCTGGTCGAGGCTATTGGAAGCGATTTCCGTGACTGAATAGTGGGGTTGAATCTTATCTTCCCTTGTCGGATGTTACCAATACTGTTGTTCCCTTGGGGGCTCATCCTACTAAGTCCGGTATGGGGTGCGGAGATTACGGGTCCTAAGAGAGTTAAGGTGCTTCTGTCTCAAGAAGTTCAAGTTTGGCTAGAGGATGGTCATTTATGGTTTTTTGATGTTTTGGCCAATGACAAGTTATTCTCTTATTTTTAATTTTATACTGGATGTGATGTTGTGGTACTCTTTTTCCTTGGCCGGATTTTCCTCCATATGGGGGTTTTTAAAGGCAAGGTTTTAACGAGGCCACTCTTGTTTGATCGGTTCATAATTGTATATCATTTTGTACCCTTCTAGCTTATGATTTGGTTATGTTTTTTAGTTAAACTACTGCTTTTAATCATTTTTGTGTTTATCTTTCAGTTCATTGAGCTTTAGGTAACAATGATGGCTTTGGATAGGAAATGATGCAATCCATGCATGTTAAGGCCTGATTTGGGTGAATGGAAGAAGAGCTTAAAGACAAACTAATTTTGGCTACAGCCCCTTGCCAGCCCAGTTTCTTAGGTCAACTTCTTGGCCTTGGATCACCATGCTCTGGGGCTCGGATGAGGTGATGATCTTCATGAAAGTTGTTCCAATGGGTGTGCACTATAACATATCCAAATTTCAGCCCAATTGAACATATCTGGAGTCCTTAGCCCGTCCAACACTGAACCCTGCTCAGGAAGTTTTGCAGCTGCCAGCTTTTAGCCATGTGCCTCCTTTTAGCCATGTGCCTCACCCCAGCTATAACTGACTTTGTACCCAACATAATGAGTGAAGTAGGGAGGCATTCCAGCTATGAAAGTATAAAGGAGCAAGTTGGTACATGTTGGAGCTATTATAGAGAAAGCATGTGCATGCATGTGAAGCAAAGAGAAAGGAGAGAGAGAAGAATGAGGAATGATGAGAGGGATTTTGCTTCAGCCTTTGAACGTGGGAATTTAATTGGCAGATCACTTTGGAGCTGGAGATCAGGTTTTGAGCTATTAAAGAGAAGCATGTGCATGCATGTGCATGCATGTGAAGCAAAAAGAAAGAAAAGAAATGAAATGAAGTCAATTCCAGTCTCTGTTCGGCAGCCAACTTGCAAGGCCCAAAATGCACACTTATCCTGCTCCGATGGGAATACTTTCTTCATAGAAGTTGTTCCAATGGGTGTCTAATATAACATATCTAAATTTGAGCCCCATTGGATACGTTTTGAAACCTC